AAAAACTGTAACTTAGATTAACCTGAGGATTGGCAAGTATATAGTTCACACTAGAAATGTTAGATTCATGGTTTAAATACATTAAGCTCTACATATAAGATAATTGCCATCTGCAAGACTCTTAGCAAACAAATATAAGGGTGCAGAAAAAAATGTTTGGAAATGGAATAATGAGTTAAAACTTGATTGGGCAGGTCAGTTTTGAGTCTTTTGACAATCGATCATGATTTTTGAACAAAAAATTCTACTTTTGTTGTGAAACGTAGTATTTGCCTCTCCCACCCATTGAGGGATATTTTGGCATCAAGCTCATAAGTCATAACAGGTAAAAAAAAAGTGCTCGTTGCATTATTCTTTTAAACGTACGACATTCTAGTGCTATAAAACTGTGCATTTTTGCTTAGAAATCACCAGACCTAAAGAGAGTGAGCCTTAAGACTAAAAGGAGATAACTAAATAAAATAAACAATAACAAAATCACACACATTTCAAAGTTAATGTCAACATTTATGCATCACCTTGAACAAAAGGTATAACCAACAAACAAATGAACAATGCATCCCTATTTTTCACCTTCATATCAAGCAATCAAAACCCTCTAGCACACGCTACATGTACTGTCAAAAAAACACAATTTAGGTATTAAATCGATTTTTCGCGTTATTCTTTTAAATGTATGACATTTTAGTGTTGAAAAATTATGCATCTTAGTTGAGAAATCAGCAGACCTATCACCTATAAAGAGATGAGCCTTAGACTAAAAGGAGATAACTAAATAAAGTAAACAATAACAATATTACACCAAATTTCAAACTCAATGCCAACATTTATTATTCATGACCCAGAACAAATTTATAACCAATAAACAAAAGCATCCCTCTTTTTCTCACCCTCTTACCAAATAATCAAAACCCTCGAACACAAACTACATATAATGCCTCAAACCCACATTTTTGTACACCCAATTTACAAATTTTAAACAAGATGCAACTCTTTTCAAAGAGCATTACCTTCTGAGAATCTGCTTCGTCTTTTCCGCTACTAACGCAGAGAGTTGTAATCCTCTTAAACCTCCGTCGTACCTGCGAAAAGGAAAANAAAAAAAAAAAAAAGCAAACAGAACAAGAACGCAGCTAAGTTTAACAAGAACTCAGATTTGAGAGCAGCATGAAAAAACACGATGAACAAAGTTGTCCAAGAGAGGTAGAACATACTGTTAAGCTTTCGTGAAAGCTGTTAAAGTGAGAGGAGGAAATGGAGTTTGCCCAAGAAATCGAGGTAGCTCCATAGAGCTCCATTGTTGTCGGAGCTAATGGCGGGCTAACTTATTTGTTGAGCAAAAAATAGAAAATGTGTGTCAAGTAAGGCCACATCAAATTAGCCAATAAATAAATAAATAAAATAAAATAAAATAAAGCAGCTGGCCCATAGGCCATAGGCCATATCCATCACCCCCATAACAAATTTACAATTACAAATTTACAAATATATTAGTTTTTTTATATTTATGAATGGTTTATTTGTAATTTATTGTAGTAAGTGAGTCTTAAATTGCAGTATTATTGTTTGGTTTATCAATGAGTATGTATTGTTTTATTTTTAATATCTTATTTAAAGATCAAAAAGTATAGTAAACATGCCAAATAACCGACATGCCACCCCATGATTAATTAACAATATAGTTCACTTTGTTAGGAGCACTAATTTCATATTACCTTTGTTGCATTTTTTAATTGGTTTCTATGTTCTGAAGGACACAATTTTACATTTTTTAATTAGTTTCTATGTTCTGAAGGACACAATTTTACATTTTTT